ACGGCAAACAACAACAACAACAACAATGAGTAAAGGTCAGTCTTACAACTGGAAGCCCCACTGGACTAAGCACCTGAGATGGGCAGTGAGCCCAAGGGAGACAGGATGGTGCATTGACCGGGTCCCGACACAGCCATGCCTATGTGGTCTTGGTGCTGATGTTGGAGTGCAGAGAAAGGCACAGGATGCTGGCACATTAGTTTCCTACTGCTGTGTCGTATTCTCATGACAGTAAATGAGGCAGCTGGGAGATGGGTGCCTGGGTCATTGTCCCTCTGGAGCATTACAGCCATGAATGAGCACAGAAGACTCTCTTCCTACTCAGCATCAGAGCTACAGCAATAATACAAAGCCCCTGCTTCATGTGCCCCTGAATTGTGCCAGGTGGGTCTCAGGGATGGGTGAGGGATGAGAGGATGCAGTTAGGCCATGTGCGCAGGGCTCATGCTGACCATCATAGAAATGGCTTTTTGCTAGTGTCATATGAGCCTTGACTGTCACATTTTAAATTATTTCTTGAAATTAAAATCCTTGGATTCATTTTCATAGGCTACATCTGTTGGTCTCTAGGGTTTCTTCTTGTACTCTTCATAAGTGGCTTAGAGGCATCCTCTTATCCCCATCTCACCTGGCACCCTCATGACCCCTTTACAGCTGCCCACATGGCTGCAGGGTAAGGGTCAGCCTCACAGCAGCGAAATATGGGACCTGTGGGCAAGTGTTCATCCTAAAATATGCTCCTTTCTTTCCTGATCCCTGCATGTTCTGTAATTCTGGGGGAAGAAGCACCATTGCTCCGGCAGCAACCACCTCTGCCTGAAACCAGAAGGTCTCCTCCAACCCGGGATACTTCGTCTCGCCTCATCAGAGACCCTGCCCACAGTGCCAAGTCTACACCAACAGCATCACCTCGTAGGAAAGAAAGGTCAGTTGGGGTGCTTCAGGCAGTCTGTCCATTATAAGAGCAAGATGAAACATTAGCTTGTGCGTCTAGGTTGTAGGCAATCATGAAATCCATTTTCAAGGGGCAGCAGCTGCTTAGAGCCTGGATATGTGGGGTCCCCTGGCTAAGGCTGCTTATAGAAGGCCCCCTGGGCTCTTTCACACACATGTATGTCTTTATACTAGCAAGTCAGTTGACAGTTGAGGCATTACAGTGATACTGGTAACCAAACACAAGTTTTTATTAAAAAGTTCTTAGTTAAAAAATAATTATTAGTGGAACTTGTGGTTGTTTGATTGTAAAAATGTAATTTTGTTTAAAAATTAAAGTTTAAAAGGTTTCTCTGATAGCCTATGGTGGTATATAGTTGATGAATATGTACATTCATCCCAGCCTGAGGCTCATCTCAGGACCAATGGAAGGTAGGTGCACCTGTTCCAAGAGGGCAGCATCCTCACAAGAGCCACCTCTCCCTCAGCCATGGAGTTCCTGATCTCAATGCTGATTAGGAAAGATGTGATTTCTGTTCCATTGCCCCAGGCTGAATTATGTAAATAATCCTCCTTGAATGCTACAATGAAGGTATACTAGATTATTAGCCATTTGTTTCACCTGTGACTTCTCCAGTATTTGGAACATACAATTAATGGGTATAGAAAATCTCGACTTATGTCTTTGTGGGTACTTATGTACACATACACATTGTGTACATATGTCTACTTTTTATCTTACTATGTGTTTTCCATTGTTTGTAATGAGTAAGCACTACTCTTGTCAGAGCAAGGCAAGTCCATCAGGTGTCATTAGACCAGCAATGTCCCCAGGAGCTGCTATGCTGGTGACTGTCTGTAGGAGCTGCATTATGAGTGTCATTGTCTTGGTGGCAGGGGGGTGGGGAGAACAGTACATACAAGGATTAATGGCACCATTGTGCCTGTGGCAGATCACAAGTTACTGTTGACAAAATGACATAAATTAGTATTCTTTGAGCTTGCTAATTATTCCAGCTTGTTGTACATATAGCTTTTGATGTCTTTTTGATGATCTCCATCAGCATATATAGGACCTCAGAACTGTAGTATGAAAGTCTGGCTTTGATCAACCCTGTAGCAAGGCAGGGAACAATCCAGTGTGAGTCCATGAGGGGCCTAGAAAATGATTCTGCTGGATGAGAACTGGGATCCTGTCTATCTGGTGCCCATCTGATTGGGTAATATTTATAAGGATAATTGATAGCTGAGAGGGCCACTTTTGTGTAGGGTGACTTTGTAGCAATGATGAATGATGAGTAAGAGAATGGTCCCTACCCTGGAGAGATCAAGAAACTCGTCAACTAGGAGGTGAAGAATGATACAAAGAGTAGTCATTGGGCATAGCAGAGACAAGAAGAAGAACAGCTGAGGTCGGGACTAGATGGCTATAGGTTTTACCCCCAAGGAGAGGCAAGTAGTTGATTGGACCACCCCCCAGGGCACAGAGCTGTAGCATTTGAGGATGCTGGTGAATAATCCAGTTTGGGTGAGTGATCCATACATGAAGATGTAGTAAACAAAAATGATTTACATTAGTTCTTACTCTTTTTGACTCTGAGACAGAAATTGTATAAAAATTGGTTTTAAAAGCATTGTGTGACACTTTAAAAAAAAAAAAAAAGCTGTACAATATTTTTCTTTTGAGATAAAGAAAGGAGATGAAGAAAAGTATATAGTTAACCCCATTTCCCACAGCATGTCTGGGTCAGCAAAACCCCTTATTCCTGCATGCATATTGAGCTTCCTAGCCAAGATGCTATTTAAGTTAAATTCTCTTTTTGTTTGTTTCTTGATGTGGTGGTTTGTTTGTTTATTTAAAGATCCACTTTATCTCCAAATTCAAGATCAGAAAGGACCCTGGATGCTTCTCAGGATCCAGAACACTCCTTAACAGAATATATTCACCATTTAGAAATGATCCAGCAAAGACTAGGGGGAATACCACCAGGTAATAAAAATACTTCTCATTGTTTTTTGAAATACTCTAACTGTACCTAGAAGTGTAAAATAATATAGAAAAGACTTGCAGTATTCAACTCAGTAGTTGTTTTAGTCTTAATAATTGACTGTCATTAATAGTGTTAGAAGAAAGATTGTAAATGATGATACCCTTAGAAATGTGAAAACTAGGCATGTTAGGATTGGATTGTTATGACTTAATCACCAGCTGGGACTCTTTGTCCTTCCTTTTACATAGATAAGGAACATAAAGATGGTATTTCAGCCAGTGCATTAATTAGTCCAGTGTTTCTTAACTTTCTTCATATGAATTATTACATATTTTAATTATAATTCATATTTTTATCAAAATTAAGATAAATTTAGTAGTAGTATTTAAAACGTGAAGCCTTCCAATAAACTGCTGTATAATTTTTATTTCTATACAGATTCTACTTCAAAAAAATCTTGCCACCAGAAGATTAAATAATAAAATTCTTGTGGATTGTACCTGTGAAAATGATATTTGAGGAAAAGACTTGTTTTCTTCCCTAAAGAGAGCTTGTGATATGGCATGGGATAGTTCATACTATCAACCCACAAGCACATTAATCAAGTGCTACAAAACCGAATGGAGCATTTCTGATATACTTTCAGTACGTTTCACGCCTTCATGAGGTAATGTACTGTGATGAGCAATAGGCACATGTGCTGTTCTGTGCATATCACCAGAACCACACCTGCCTGCCTCCAGAAGGGGTAAGCTGAGATGGCTTCCTGTTGTTTATTTTCCTAAGCTGTATAGTCAGAAACTTTGTTTTAAACATTAAACACACACGAAAAAAAGGAAGAATAAAATTGAAGCATTGTTTTATTTCTGAGTGGCCTTTGTCCTGGTTTTCATTTTATCCAGTTTGCTTGCATCACTGGCAAAAAATAAAACATAAACTTAGAACTTAAGTTAAATTCCTAAAAACAAAACATTCACATGGAACACAAAATACTCTTCACCTAGTAAAGACAGTTAGCCAGTTGCCTGTTGTTTAATCTTACTTGGTTTGTAATTTTATTTTTGAAAGATGCTGCCACTACTTTTCTACTTTTTGTAACTATGACCATTTTATATTTTATTCATAGTCCCTTATACCATGCAGTAATATGTAGCTAAACTCAACTATCTTTACCCAAAATTCTAGTACACAGGTATATTTCTAAATATTTCAGTGATATTTTTAGGGACCTTTGAGCATATTTATTCTGCTGGGCTTAAACTGTAATATGAAATAACTTCTTCTATATCGTACATACTTTTTCAGTGATTTTTCTTTCAACCTTCAACACACATTTGCATTTTCCGAGTTAGCCATCACTGCTACTAAGGTCACTTGTTTTATAAGCTTTTACCTTTTCCATCTTTCCTTTCTGCCAAGCTGTCTCTTGGTCTTTCTGCTTAAGTTGCTAAAGCTAAAATCTCAATCAGTCCTAGAAGTAGGAGCCCAAGAAATGCCTCTTTAATTTAAGCATCCAAAAGAATAATGACTAAAATTGATGATCAAATACTGTACACTGGGTTAAGGTAAAAAACAGGGTTGGGGAGGAGCTCACTGAAAACCACTAGTGGACACAACTTGTTAATATGGAAATTGATATTTAAAGACAAACCGGCATTCCCTCTGCCTTTTTATGGGTGAACTTAGTCACTATTTTAACCAGGTGATCAAACTAAGGTACATAGCAGACACAGAGTCAGTTTGACTCATGGCGAGGTGACCCCGTGTACAACAGGAAAAAAACACTGTCTCATCCTGTGCCATCTTCATGATTGTTAGCATGTTCAAGTCCATTGTTGCATCTGTACCAGTCTTTCTGATCAAGGGTCTGTCTCCCACAGCCCCATTGGTCCTCTACTTTACTAAACATTCCTCTAGCAATTAATTGATCCCTCCTGATATGTTGAAAGTGAGTTAGGCAGTTGTGATTCATAAGGTTTTCACTGGCTAATTTTTGGAAATTTTCTTCCTAGTTGTCCTTGTGTGGAAGCTCTACTAAGGAGCTCTGGTGGTGAAAAGAGTAAAGTAAAAACAAACTAAATTACCCCCAACTATTTCCCCCACCCTGATTAAGACAGGTAATTAAATAAGACCCTGGATGAAAATAGGTAAGTAACCAAAATACCCCAACTATTTCCCCACCCCAGGCAGATGAATATGTAATTCCTTAGAGAATTGAATGAAAGGAAAACATTCTCTCCTGCTGGTGATAGTATCTTAGAAACAACTTGTAAATTAACTCTGGCCCTTGGACATGCACAATAGGGCAGAAAGGAACAAAAGTTAATGACAGACCCTCCCCCCTCTGCCCAATCCACTATCAGCTGATGACAGGAAGCTGGTCTGACTAGTCCACCTCCAGGCACAATCCTCATCCATTTCACGCCCCAAATTCCTCAACTTTTTGTGAATATGCACAACCCCGTCTCCTGAAACCTACAAAAATTGTATTTGATGGCATCTAGGGGAATTAGATTTGGGTACAAGGATACCCCTACTCCTTGCATTGCTGCTTTGCAATAAATAATTTTCTCTCAGTCTCTCTGTGTAAATTTTTTGGCCTGACTGTGCACCAGGCTGGGACCCGCATTTGGTCCAATAACAGTGGCATAGTGCCTAAGGCCTTTTGACTGCTAACCAGAAGGTTGGTGGTTCAAACCCACCAGCCACTCCACAGAAGGAAAACGGCCAATCTACTTCTGTAAAGATACACTACCTGGAAAACCCAATGAGGGTTCCTATGAGTTGGAATCGACTTGATGGCGGTGAGGTTTTTGGGATTTTTTTGTTTGTTTGTTTGGAAGCTGTACTGAAACCTGTCAATCATAGGTGACCCAGCTGGTATTTGAAATACCAGCAACATAGTTTCTAGCATCATAGCAACACACAGGCTACCATAGTATGACAAACTTACAGATGGGTGGGATCAAACTAAGTACTGCTTATAACAGGGGACCTGATATTCAGGATTTCCTGATGTAATGTGAATATAATGTGATATGATGTGCACAGCATCACCTGTGAAATATTCTTGCTTGTTGTTAGGTGCTATGGAGTAAGCTCTAACTCATAGTGACTCTGTGTACAAGGAATGAAACACTGCCTGGTCCTGTGCCAGCCTCACAATCCCTGGTATACCTGAGCCCATCACTGCAGCCACACCTTGTTGAAGGCTTTCCCCCTTTTTCATCTGCCCTCCGCTTCACCAAGCATGGTATCTTTCTCCAGGGAATGGTCCCTTCTGATAAGTGTTCTATATAGAAGTGTTTAACTCAAATACAATCAATTCTTTATACCTAATTTCCAGTTTACAGGAAATACAGGCAGTCCCTTGATTACAGGGTATAAGCCATATTTATGTATAATGCTTAGTTAGGAACCAACCCCCATAAAGCCTATTATGTTAAAAGTTTGAGTTACATACAATGGTTCATAGTAACAAATAGGTGCTATTTTGTGACACCCACCAAAAGTTATTACTGTATTATTATGTTAAAGATGTTTTACTGTATCTGGAAGTGTTTCTTTAATGTTTGTTACGCATAGAGAATCCAGAGGGGACACAGAGCAGAGCAGCAACCAGGCATCCAGGTACAGGGAGGGATCCAGGTCCTACCCCCACCAGCCAGGAAAGCTGGGGAGTTGGGGGTAGGGGTTAGACATAGAAGCCAGAGAGCACAAAAGAGCAGAGCAGCAGCCAGGGATTCAGGTAAGGGGAGTGAGTGACTCTGGCCCTACTCCCACCAGCTAGGAAAGCAGGTAAAACAAAACCCAGAGGGGATGACAGAGCAGAGCAGAGCAGCAGACAGAGATCCAGGTAAGGGGAGGGACCCAGGCCCAACCCCCACAAGCCAGGAAAGGTGGGGGGGAAGAGAAGCCAGGGGAACGACAGCAGAGCAGCGCCAGGGATCCAGATAAGGGAAAGGTGGAGAGGTTTCATACAGCTAAGCGAGTCTGTCGGTTTGTCTGACAGTTTGTCAGTTTGTCGTACTATTGTGGCCTGCATGTTGCTGTGAGGCTTGAGGCTGTGCCACTAATGTTTCAAGTGCTGGCAGGGTTCCACATGGTACACAGGTTTCAATGCAGCTTACAGGCTGAGACAGACTAGGAAGAAAGAAGAGGCCATCCACTTCTCAAAGAATTGGCCAGGGAAAACCTTATGAAGAGCAGAGAAACACTGATACATTACTGAGCAACTTTAGAATAGCCCAAAAACATCCAATACAGTGCAGGAAAACAAGCCCCTTAAGTCAGAAGGCTTTCAAAATATGACTAGGAAACAGCTGCATCATCAAACTAGGACCAGCATTACTGATATGGATAAAGTAAAGCTTTTAAGACTTCCATTTGCTGGCGTGGCAATCACACAAATTGAGGAGAAATAGCTGCAAACATCCATTAATAATAGGAATGTGGAATGTACGAAGTATGAATCCAGGAAAATTTGGAAGTTGTCAGAAATGAAATGGAATGCCTAAAGATTGATATCCTAGACATTAGTGAGCTGAAATGGGCTGGTTTTGACCATTGTGAATCAGATAACCATATGATCTACTATGCAGGGAATGACAGTTTGAAGAGGAATGCCATGGCATTTGTAATCACAAAGGATGTTTCAAGGTCTATCCCAAAGTACAGTGCTCTCAGTGATAGGATAATATCCATACACCTACAAGGAAGACCAGTTAATACACTTATTATTCAAATTTACACACCAACCACCAAAGCCAAAGATGAGGATATGGAAGAGTTTTATCAACTTCTGCAGTCTGACACTGACCGAACGTGCAGTCAAGATGTGTTGATTATCTAGGAGTTCCGGCAAGATGGCGGACTAGGCAGAAGGATTGCACAGACCCTCTTCAACAAAGAAAAGGGAAACCAATTAACACAGACACAGAAGATAATCTTGGACCCC